CTCAACTGTTCCCCCTGCTTGTGCTCTCTCGCTCTCTCTGTCAAATAGATGGAATCTTTAAAAAAATAATAATAAAAAAATAAATAAATTCTTAAAAATTCACTTCCTCGGTTGCGCTAGCCACATTTCACATGCTCCTAGACATGTGTGGCTAGTGGCTACCTTTGGGGCAACACAGATGTATAGAACATTTCCATCATTGCAGAAAGTTCTGTTGGGCAGTGCTGTTGTTCTAGGCAACCCAGTTTATACCCATCCTTGTATGTACACTTTTACAGACTTCTCAGATTGTTGCCTGGATATATTCCTGGCGATAATGAATTGCTGACTCAGAAGGTGTGCACAAATAAAACTTTGATAAATTACCAACTTGCCCTCCAGGATAGCAATACTAATTTATACTTGCACCAGCAGGATTATGGTAGGACAGACTTGAAAATAAAGGCAAGGCGTAGATACGGATACTTTCCTCTACCTGAATGAACGGTAACAGATTCTAAATAACAAACAGGTTTTTTTCTTAAAGAATTAATTTTCCAAAAAAGACATTTTTGAGGGAAAGATTGCTGGATGGTTAGGTTCCCACAAAACTAATTTAATTCATAATAAAGAATATTTGTATTAATACTTCTCTAGAGTCCAGCCATTTTTTAAAGACACCGTGTCTGTGGGAGTATGAATTCTGTGTCTCCCCCGGGAATGTCGGCATGCTTTAGCGTGCGTCGGGTTGTGCTTCTTCTTGCAGGCAGCACAGCATTCTCAGAAGCAATCCACTGAGCTCTTCCAGTGCATGTATTTTAAAGACAAAGACCCAGACAATGAGGAGCGTTGCATATCTGATGGAGTTATATATTCAATTAGAACAAATGGTGTGCTTGTATTTATACCAAGGTATGTTACATCTAATGTAATAGCTGTTAACAAATCATAGTTACAGTAGGGGCGCCGGGGTGGCTCAGTCGGTTAAGCATCTGCCTTTGGTCAGGTCATGATCTCGGGGTCCTGGGATTGAGTTAGGCATCGGGCTTCCTGCTCAGCAGAGTCTGTCCCTCTCCCTCTGCCCCTCCCTGCGCTGTGCTTGTGCTGTCTCTCAAAAAATAAGATCTTAAAAAAAAAAAATCATAGTAAACTAAGTGTAGAACACAAACAGTACATTGGATATAACTTGTTAAAATATAACAACTCTTTGTAGGTACAGATGTACATAGTGTAATAGAATAATGCACGATATAAGTATAAAAGGAGGGGTGCATCTGACTCTTGATCTCAGCTCAGGTTGTGATCTTAGGGTCGTGAGTTCAAGCCCCATGTTGGGCTCCTACTTAAAAAAAAGTATAAAAGCAGATTAGCATCTAGTACTTCTGTATTAGTGTTAAGATAGGATTTTACTTCCTTATTTAGCAAAATATTTTTCCATCTGCTCAGTGAAGTATTTGGAGGTAAATGAGAGGAAAAGTTGTTTTTGATCTAGAATAAAAACTAGCATTCTAGATTGAGTGTACAAGATTTGTATACTAAGAATACATTATCTCGATTTTTATTCTGGCAATGATTCAGGTTTGGGATTAAAGGTGCTGCTTATTTAAGAAATAAAGATGGTTTTGTGATCTCATGTGGCTCAGACAGCCGTTTGGAATGGAAACCGGGATCCCTTCAACGATTTCAAAACAAAATCACCTCTACCACAACAGGCGGGGAGTCTGTCACGTTCCATCTGTTTGACCATGTAACAGTAAGTCCATGTTTACATTAAGCATTGCTTTCAACGTCAGGTATAAAGAATGTGATTTGGTAATATGCCTTTTCTTCTCTGTGATAGGTGAGAATATCTGTACAGGCCTCCCGTTGCCATTCTGATACAATCAGGCTTGAAATAATAAGCAACAAACCGTACATGATACCAGATACAGAACTTCTTCATCAGAGCTCCCTCTTGTTAAGGAGTGATTTAGTGAAAGAAGTAACTAGATCTGTGGAGGAAGCTCAGCTTGCCCAAGAAGTCAAAGTAAACGTCATTCAGGAAGATTATCAAAAATACTGCCAAACAAAGGGAAGAAGCCTATACACACTCCTGGAGGAGATAAGGGATCTTGCTCTCCTGGATGTTTCCAACAGTTATGGAATGTGAAATACTTTTTACTTCATTAAAAGAGCTGTTTTGTGAATGCTTTCAACTTTCTTTCTAACCTTAACATCTAATGTTCTGTGTCACCTAACGTTCTAATCGATTGGGATGCGGTAGATAGTTCACCAATGCGCAAAATGTTTTCTCATCATTAATTAAAGCTGCATTAGAGAGAAGTTAGATCCCTGTGGAAACTGATTTTTCAGAAATGGAGAGATCATGAATGGTGACTCTGCAGGTCAGATTGCCAGTCTCTTTTTAATAAATCCAGAATTGATTTTTGATTAGCTTGTCTCAAATCCGTTCTTTCAAAATAAGTTTTAATTTTTCTAGTAACTGCTCCTCTGGGCAATTTGGGTCCTAGGCCCCTCTGACAGCTGTCAGATTAACTTTTCAGTTGCCTTCAGGTAAGACTTAGTTCTGTCCACCTGCCCACTTTAAGACTATTTCATGTGACTCAAACCTCCCCTGCTGTCCCCACAGTAGTTGGGGACAAGGCACAGGGAGTGGGGTGGAGTGCACAGGTAAGTAAGGTGTTCTCGCAAACTTCCCTTTCCACGCTCTCATTTTGCTGAGTACTCCTTAGATGGAGCTGCATTGGCCTTGCCCCTGTTGAAGACTTGTTACTTTGCCAGTGTATCCCACCCTGGAAGAGTAACTTTTTAGTCTGCCACTAGGCCAGTCCCCAGCCAGCCACAGAGGCCCCCTCCCCCCAACCCGTATGTTCTTGTGCTCAACTTCTTGCCTTTCAGCCAAACCATCCTTGTCACTCTCCATCCCCAACAGAAGTCAGCAAGCCTCATGGCATTAAGATGCCTGCCTGTCCCAGCCTCACAGAAACCAAAGCCACTTTAACACCATCACCGTGCCAGTCTCTTCTCACAAAAAGCAACCTTCCCGTGGCACCTGGCTGGCTCAGCTGGTGGAGCATGCGACTCTTGATCTCAGAGTTCTAAGTTCGAGCCCCATGTTGTGTGTAGAGATTACTTAAAAAAAAAAAATCTTAAAAAAAAAAAAGCAAACTTCCCATCTCCTAGTTTGTAAAAACTTGCTTTGCCTTTCCCTGTTGCCCATCAAAATCTGCCATGAACTAGACAGACCTTTAAACTCGGTTGTCAACATGGCACTTTTTCTGTAATTTACTTCTCCACCAAGCTGATAAACTCAGGCAGGAAAAACTCCAATCAGATCTTATCGCCATCTGGCCCTAACACTTCTAGCCTCATATTTGCCATTCCCAAGTCTTTCTTATTTCCTAGATTTCCATTTCTGTATCATTATTAGACATGTCCTTCCCAATCCTTGGGTTGTCCTCCACAAATGCAAAGGTGCCCTATCTGGATCATCCCTAGGTGCTCTGTGTTCCTCATGATGCTGTGCAAGTTTCTCCCACTAGTCAGTAAGGTATCAAGGAGCATGTGAACTCCCCTAGCACCAACGCAGGCCAGGCAAGACAGCAGCCTTTCAGGTGACCCTTTTAAAATGACTCCTCAAATGGGGCGCCTGGGTGGCTCAGTCGTTAAGTGTCTGCCTTCGGCTCAGGTCATGATCTCAGGGTCCTGGGATCGAGCCTCACGTCGGGCTCCCTGCTCAGCGGGAAGCCTGCTTCTCTCTCTCTCCCTCTGCCTGCCGCTCTGCCTGCTTGTACTCTCTATCTCTGTGTCAAAAAAAAAAAAAAAAATCTTAAAAAAATAAAATGACTCCTCAAAATAGACGTAAACACATATAGAAACCTTAAACATTTTACTGGAAGTGTATATTGCAGAACTAAATAGCAGTAAGAAACTTCCATAAAGCCTCGAGATAGTTTAGAAGATTTTTATTTTTTTTAAAAAAAATGGACATTAATAATCATTACATATTTACATCTCAAAACCCCCAATTTAGTGAAAACAAGACATTCAGTAGCCCACTAGCAGCAGAAGGTGCTTGGAACTACTAATCATTTTTATAAAGTTATATCTATATAAAAATAAACACTAAAGCGAATAAACAGGCTCAACTAAAGTTAGTAAGAAACAAGTATAAATAATACCATATTTTAAACCGGAATCTGTGAAAGTCTTACTACATAAGGATTTTCACTCCAAGCAGACAAAATACATACTAATCTAAAACTTAGAGGATAGCAGGTTAATGGATTTTCTTAGTTGATGCCTACCCAACCTCAGTAACATTTCTGGATAAAGCATAAAGTTACTACTGTACATTTTAAAAGGATTGGTCCAGTTGTGTGTTCTCCATTTTTAATTGCTCCTCCTCACTTACAGCATTGGCAGCAGCATTATTATGTGGCTGGTCTAGAATGTCTTCGTTAAATCCATCTAATGACTCCTCTTGATCCTCACCTGTATTGACCTCTTCAATGGTCTGTGCCCTGGGTGTGTTTATTAACAAGTCTGAAAGAGAAATCATCATTATTACTCCTTATAAGCACCTGATCCAATCTGACCTGATAAATATAAATCTCTCCACAAGCTTATATCGTGGAAATAAAATTTATAATCACTTTCTTCCAAATAGTCATTTTTATACACGTATCAAGTCCACTCAAAAATGCAAGTCTTGAAAGGTACTGAACTCAAACTCTTGAATCATAGCCAAATGCCAACTGTTCTCATTCAATAATCACAGCTATTCGATGAAAGTTTTTAAAAATCAAATGCTCAAAAAAAATGCTCTTAACAGCTATACATCAAAGTGATCTCTAGCAAAGAAAATTTAGGATCCTTATTTCTATTTAGGCAAATTTTAAGTCATATGTTATAAATAGAAGATGAGCCTTAAAATGCTTATCGCCAGGTACACTTTGATAATGACAGCAAAGGAAGTGCCATCAATGATAGTTGGAGCTTCATGTAATTTTTCACCTGGTAGTAATAAAATATCCATTTGTAAAGTTGAAGATTAAGCTGATTTTAATTGGAAAGAACAACAATGTAGTTACACTAATTTTCACTTGCAAATTCCATTATCTTGGGTGAAACTTGTTTTATAACATGGTATCTTCACTACTTAACCATAATTCTTATTTTCCCATTTCAAAAGGAAAACTACATTGGAAATTGAGAAAGACATGCAATCTGCTTCATTCAAAACCAATTTGCATTAGCAAACCCAATCTGTTTTAAAAATAGCAAATTTTAAGACCGTTTTATTTTTTAAAAGATTTTTATTTATTTGCCAGAGAGAGAGAGAGCATGCACACAAGCAGGGGGAGCGGCAGACAGAGGGAGAAGCAGACTCCCCGCTGAGCAGGGAGCCTGACATGGGACTCGATCCCAGCACCCTGGGATCATGACCTGAGCTGAAGGCAGACGCTTAACGACTGAGCCACCCAGGCAGCCCTTAAGACAGTTTTAAAAAAGAGAAGAGAATGCATCAGATAAGCAAACTGACAGCTAAGTGACACAATGCAATAAAAAGTAAGGACCTATTTAAATGTCACAGCAAATGGCTCTAAAATCCTCAAAGGGTGCACAAGGCATTCTATAAGTTTAGGAAAGTACCATAATAATCAATGTTCAAAATTATGATGCTAAAGATAAAATATGAGGCTCAGTTGGTTAAGCATCTGCCTTTGGCTTAAGTCATGATCCCAGGGTCCCGGGATCAAGCCCCAAGTCGGGCTCCTTGCTGAGCGAGGAGCCTGCTTCTCCTTCTGCCCCTCCCCCCCTTGTGCTCGCTCGCTCTCTCTCAAATAAATAAATTTTTAAAATCTTTAAAAAAAATAAAGATAAAATACGTGTCACATACTTTAAGGAGTCAGGGAAGAATGTATTTTTGAAAGATTCAGAATCAAGTTGAAGTGATTAAAAAACATTTTTAAGAGGTACTCCGCTATCCAGAGAACCATCTTGGATTCATTTATTCTTTGAGGATTCCAAATAGCTCATGCTCACACACACACGTGCTCTTTCTCAGATATACATAAACTTAATGTATCAGATTTTTCTATTCCTAGAGGCATTTTATTTTGCAGATAGTAGAGAAGTTAAAATTTCTAACATGCCCTAATATATTAATGGTAGCACATAAAACCCAGCATAAAATTTACCATTTCCGAGGGACTGACTGTTATTCAGCTTGGCCTGCCTTCTTTCCAAGGCCAGTTGTTTATTTCTCTCAATTCTCTGTTGTTGTTCTTCTGTTAGGCTTCTACCTGACTCAGAAGCAAAATTCTCACTTTCCAATGAGTTTGTCAAAAAGGGATCTGATTGGGTAGCAGTTACATCATGGCCATGATTTTCTCCTTCATCTGCAGTAGAGATGAAAGTTAGTACATCTTTAGTTAGAAAAAGCTTAATGCAGCTATTAGTTAAAAACCAGTTTAAAGTAACAAGGTGCCAGACCTGAAGAAACTATTTGTTTCCTCAAATTGCTCTGGGGCGTGAGAATGTTCCAAATACCGATGATCCTTGAACAACAGAGGAGTTAGGGATGCCAACCCCCAGCACAGTCAAAAATCCACATAGAACTTCTGCCTCCCCCAAAGCTTAACTACTAATAGCTTACTGTTGACCAGAATACGAATAACATAGTCAATTAACACATATTACCTATATTATGTGTATTTTATACTATACTTTTAAAGTCAGCTAGAGAAAAGAAAATGTTATTAAAGAAAAACATAGGAAGAGAAAATACATTTTACAGTACTGACCCTTAAGAAATCTGTACGCGGACCTGCTCAATTCAAACCTGTGGTGTTCAAGGGACACCTGTACGTGCTTGATTCAAACAAGTAAAAGGAATATTTATAAATCATTTTATTTTAAGAGGAGTGATCACTTTTTTAAGATTTTATTTTATTTGAGACAGAGAGAGCGAGCACAAGAGGGGGTAGGGTGAGAGGGAGAAGCGGACTCCCTGCTTGGCAGGGAGCCCGATGCGGGACTCGATCCCAGGACCCCGGGATCATGACCTGAGCTGAAGGCAGACACAACCGACTGAGCCACTCAGGCGCCCTTATAAATCATTTTAAAGAGACATTTTAAGTCAAATGGAAATACTAGTTTAAAAATATGCATGAACAGAAAGCACAAGTTCTTAGTTATTAGAAAATATTTTCTGCTTGGGCTAATGAACTTAAAAGAATCCAAACCATATTCTTGCTTTAAACAAAAACATTTTAATAGCTTGCTATAGTGTCTATATAACACAGTAATAATTTTATATAAGCTATTTTTTTTTAAGATTTTATTTATTTTACTTGAGAGAGAGAATGAGATAGATAGAGAGAGCACGAGAGGAGGGAGTCAGAGGGAGGAGCAGACTCCCCACTGAGCAGGGAGCCCGATGAGGGACTTGATCCCGGGACTCCAGGATCATGACCTGAGCCGAAGGCAGTCGCTTAACCAACTGAGCCACCCAGGCTCCCTATATAAGCTATTTTTTAATAGGGTAAAACTCAGACACAAAATGAAAAAGGAGGGGTGCCTGGCTTGCTCAGTCAGAGCATGCAACTCGTGATCTTGGGGTTGTGAGTTTAAGACCCACAATGCGTGTAGAGATTACTCAAAAATAAAATCTTTCAGGGCCCCTGGGTGGCTCAGTTGGTTAAGCGACTGCCTTCGGCTCAGGTCATGATCCTGGAGTCCCAGGATCGAGTCCCGCATCGGGCTCCCTGCTCGGCGGGGAGTCTGCTTCTCCCTCTGACCCTCCCCCCTCTCATGTGCTCTCTCTCTCTCATTCTCTCAAATAAATAAAATCTTTAAAAAATATATATTTAATAAAAAATAAATAAAATCAAAGAAAAAAGAAAAAATTTAGAGATCTGTGGACATATTTCCACATTAATTTAAAAAATTGTGCTCTCTACATTAGTCCTAATAAATTCTTAAAGCCCTATACACCAGTTATCTCAAAGTAGGATGCCCTTAAAATGATCCACAGTGGTATATATTGTATCTTCCATTTATATTTAAGAATTTAGAAAAATTATTGAACTAACTTTAAAATTATTGAACTAACTTAAAGACAGGCAGTGACAAACTATCATTTATCCATATGACAGTTACTGTGTGGCCTGGGTGCTACCTTAAAGGCAGACAGCTCCACACTGCAGAAGGGCGGGAGAGCTGAGGCCTCACTCATTTTTTAAATTTCAGCATACTGTGACATACAGCTGATTCTGATCACTCAGTTAAGCAGACTGTCTAGTTTTATTTTTTTTTTAAAGATTTTTATTTATTTATTTGAGAGAGAGAGAATGAGAGATAGAGAGCACGAGAGGGAAGAGGGTCAGAGGGAGAAGCAGACTCCCTGCCAAGCAGGGAGCCTGATGTGGGACTCGATCCCGGGACTCCAGGATCATGACCTGAGCCGAAAGCAGTCGCTTAACCGAGCCACCCAGGCGCCCAAGCAGACTGTCTAGTTTTAACACCAAAACAACCTCAACAAAATGCACAAGTGGTAGCTTAAAAAGATTTTTGTAAAATAATATATAGAAGGTAGAAAATAGAGAAACAAGAATTAAGAAAACAGCAAAGCTGACACTTCACCTTCTTCCTACATCATTCACATTACAGGGTTAAAAAAAAAATGTCATCTGATCTGACAAGTAGGCAAAAAAAAAAAAAAAAATCACCGAGACCACCATTTGAAATACAAATTTTCACACACTAACCTTGTCCTATGTATATACTGTGCCTTGAGGTATTAGCTAATATAGTAAAAACCATCACAACTAGCAAACGTTTAAAACAGGTCCTTTATAATTATTCCGGTGAGGTTAAAAATCCTATGATATTTAATTTTACAACCAAATCCCTTTTGATGTTTCTTCCTTAACAGTGAAAGACAAAAATCAATACACTTGTCCTGACATGGAAAAAAAAAATGTAGCAAGAAACTAAGATGCATTCCTTTGTCAGGAAATATTGATGGGGTACAGGGAGAAAACATTGCTAGAGAAGTTAAGAAACAAGTATTAGGGGGTGCCTGCGTGGCTCAGTTGGTTGAGCGACTGCCTTCGGCTCAGGTCATGGTCCTGGAGTCCCGGATCGAAACCCGCATCGGGCTCCCCGCTCAGTGGGGAGTCTGCTTCTCCCTCTGACCTTCCCCCCTCTCATGTGCTCTCTCTCTCATTCTCTCTCTCAAATAAATAAATAAAATCTTTAAAAAAAAGAAACAAGTATTAGAACCAATTATGCAATTTTGGGGTTTCTACTATGCTTCACCTTACAGGGTGTACAGGATTCCTAGTTAATGGTAATGACATACGTAAAGAACTACTGTTTGTGAGCCATGAAAGTAGTCATCTCTTCCGTAGTACATGGCCTCTTTAATACAATATTTTATGGGAAACCAATGTGAACATAACCACTGATAAGAGTTTTGACTGATAAAAATGGGATTAAAAAAATTAGAACCACACATGAAATTCACTCACTGCAACATTAACAGGCAAGCGACTGTGGCAAAGAAGCTTAAGACAAATATTCAACGTGCTACAGGATGCCATCATTTTGGCACATATAAACTAACGGATAAGCAAATATACAATAATTAAAGGGAAATGAGTACTATGGGGAAAAAATGATAGGGGAATCAGGGCTGGGGGTAGGAGTACAACTTCACGGAGTTAACATTTGAGCACAGTTTGAAGGGGTAAGACAGCCATGCAGACTTGGGGATGGGAAGGAGGACGAAGGATATGTTCAAGGCTGAGTGTAAGAGTGCAAAAGACTTAAAGAACAGCTAGGAGGCAAGGAGTCGCTAAAGCACTTTGAGTGGGGAACTATAACAGATACAGTCAGAGAAGCGAGGGAGGTGGAGTAAGGAATAGACACTGTAGGGCCAAGGAGGACATTATAAGGATTTCGGCTTTTGCTTTGGGTGAAATAAGGAGCCACTACAGGGCTCTGAGCAGAGGAGTGACAGGACTATCTGTCTGTCAAAAATATTAAAATTTAACCCCTGATTAACTTTTAAGAAAAACAACTGATTGAAAAAAGGTAGATGATAATTCGCTTGTGACTTCAACAAAAATCCTTGCATTAGTGATGGGATGGGAAAACATTAAGTGTGGTTAAGGATACTCTACTTCTATTTGGATGCATCTTAGTAAGGTGAAACCAAGATGGGGGTGGGGGGAGAACAACAGAACAACTGTATCTACAACATCAATGAGGTATTAGCCCAAAATTTTGGAGAAAATAAAATACTCAGTAGAATATTAAGTCATATTGTTCTCACTTTAAACCTCATGGTAATGTTCTTGTGAGAATAAAAATGTGCACTTTTGGGTGCCTGGGTGGCTCAGTCAGTTAAGTGTCTGACTTCGGCTCAGGTCATGATACCAGGGTCTTGTGATCGAGCCCCCAAATTGGGCTCTGCACTCAGCAGGAAATCTGCTTCTCTCTTTCCCTCTGCCCCTTTCCCGGCTCGTACTCAACGCTCGCTTGCTTTCTCAAATAAATAAAATCTTTAAAAAAAAAAAAAAAAGTATTGGGGCGCCTGGATGGCTCAGTCGTTAAGCATCTGCCTTCAGCTCAGGTCATGATCCCAGGGTCCTGGGATCGAGCCCCGCACTGGGATCCCTGCTCCACAGGAAGTCTGCTTCTCCCTCTCCCACTCCCCCTGCTTGTGTTCCCTCTCTCGTTGTCTCTCTCTCTGTGTCAAATAAATAAATAAAATCTTAAAAAAAAAAGTATTAGTTATCGTATCAGTAGTACATGTACTATAAAAAATAAATAAAATACTCAAAACACTTTTCCCACTGTAGTGCCTTTATCCAAAAGATCTGAAGACCATTCTTTTAGGATACAGAGAAGACAGATTCAACAAACAAGGCTCTATGATAGAGGCCTCTTCTATGTGTCCAGTATTTCAGCAAGCCTATAATCCCATCAGTAGTCCCAGGTTCACTTATGCCTCTGCACAAATGAGTCCCTCTCTCGAAAATCACCTTTGCCTGAACTCTACTGCTTCTCATTCAAAGTACTTGTGATTTGTCCTGTAAGGTTTTCTTTCCCCTCCCCTGGGTAAAAGCAACTATGCTCTCCTTTGCAACCTACACTGTGCCCTGTTTCTCTCTCTAATTTCAGCACCTATCAGGTGATATTATGTCTCACTCAGTCACTAGTCTGCTAGCCCATGAAGCAAGGGGTCTGATCTTATTCACCTTTATCCCTGAAACTCAAGCACACACTATGCAGCTCAAAAACTGCTACCGGAATAAACTATCTAACCCAGTGGTATGTGCTGTGGAATTTACTGTAGTTACTAATTCCTTTCCATATACCAAATCCTATGCCAGTGATACATACCATGTCTTACCAAAATATTAAATCTTAGATTAGTTAAATCACAATTCTTCACATTTTCCAATTTATTAATAACTTGGGGGGATTCTACAGGGAGCTGTATTTTCTACCACATCTATTAAAAGTTTAAAAAACAAAAACAAACATGTATGGAGCCATCGCACAGAGAATCTGATAACTATACAGACCCTGTCGGCAGGAACCATATGTTTTGATGTGTGTGACCGCCTATGGTTGCACTGTACAACTAACAAATGCAATCAATACCAGGAACAGTCACATGGGTCTTACTGAAGACCTATAGAAATCTTCAACTAAAAATGGGGTTACATCCCGATAAGACCATCATCAGTTGACAATATCTTAAGTCAAAAATGGATTCAATATGCCTCACCTATCTTAAATGTGCTCAGAACACTTACATTAGTCTAGTTAGGCAAAATCATGTAACACAGAGCCTATTTTATAATACAGTGTTGAATATCTCATGTAATTTATGGAACACTGTACTGAAAGTGGGAAAGAGAATGGTTGTATGGGTTCAAAATGGTGGTCAGTCTATCAGTTGTTTACCCTCATGACCATGTGGCTGACTGGGCAGTGTGGCCGCTCCTGCCCAGCATCACAAGAGAGTATCACAGCACATATGCTAGCCTGGGGAAAAAAATCAAAATTTGAAATTCTAAGTATGTTTTTTACTGAATGCCTATCACTTCTGCACCATCATAAAGTCAAACAACCGTAAGTCAAACCGTTGTTAAGCTGGGGACCATCTGTGTACTGGATCTATACTCTTAAGGGAAATGTAAACTATTTCATCATCTAATTATTCTAATTCCCCAGAGCCACTTTTAATGGTGTATATGTATATGAACACTAAATCTTGTCATTTATTTTCATTAACCAAGCACTACAAAGGCTCAGTGGGTATCAGTTCTCAAAGGTTCAAGTTCTCTGACTAAATATATTTTTACAACATCTCTTAATGGCACTGGAGGCATGTCTTTAAGAAACAAGTGTCAAACAACATTCTAGATGCACCAAGGCACTTTAACTCATTCCTATTTACTGTAATTATGTTTACTCAATTACTCAATATAGATGAAGAACCTACTGCTTAATCTACCCCGCCCCAACTAGATCTATTTCTAAAAGCAAAATTATTATAAATAAACCTATAGGGCGCCTGGGTGGCTCAGATGGTTAAGCGTCTGCCTTCGGCTCAGGTCATGATCCCAGAGTCCTGGGATTGAGTCCCGCATCAGGCTCCCTGCTCCTTGGGAGCCTGCTTCTCCCTCTGCCTCTCTCTCTCTCTCTGTCTCTCATGAATAAATAAATAAATAAAATCTTTTTAATAAATAAATAAATAAACCTATATTCTTACCATTATTGCTAATAAAATCTTCATGTAAAATAGGCAGGTCAAGTCGAATTCGTTTTAAACAGGTCTGAAAATAAAGAGTATTTTTACATTTTCATCAGTAACATTTAGGGGAAAATGAGAATTTATTCAATTCTTAGTTTCAAAAAAGTTGTTCTTCAAATAACTACTAATTTTCCTTCTACCATGACAGATTTCAAAATGAAAATGCCAAACAGTGACTTAGCCTCAACTAAAATCCATTCTTGGCACTATTTAGCATTATGAATGATATTCATAATAATCTCAACACCTACCTGAACTTCCTTTTTACTTCCCAGGTATTCAACTCTGTCAATAAAATCCTCAAATTGCAGTTTAGGGAATAGCCTATGTGCCCAATGCTCCATGTGTCTGATTAGCGTTTTCAAGTCTTCAGCCTGGCACATAAAAATAAAAATGCTAAATAGAACTCATTCTCACAACTGACCTTGTCAGCAGATTTTAGAATTGAATAGTAATGCCAAAGTCACTGGTGTCATTTTATATTTATAAGGTTAAGAAACTTCTGCAGAAACTTTAAGAAGAGAACTATTTATTGAGCTTAGAGAATTACAGTCTAAAAGAGCACTGGATATGATTTAAAAAAAAAAAACAACCCAGTATAAAAACTTAATGAAAGTTAAAAGATAATCATGTATCTTTTTTTAAAAGAATTTATTTATTGGAGAGAGAGAGTGTAAGAGAGAGCACAAGCAGGGGGAATGGCAGAGGGAGAGGGACAAGCAGTCTCCCTGCTGATCGGGTAGCCAGATGTGATGTGGGGCTGATGCAGAGCTCGATCCCAGGACTCAGGGATCATGAACTGAGCTGAAGGCAGATGGATAATCATGTATCTTTTCAGAACTGTAAAGTAACATGTGAAAATAAGCTTTAATAAAACATGTCAAGTTATCTTTTAGGAATAACTAAACAAAATGACAGGTCCCTAAATCATATATATAGAACGAAGCATTGAGAATTCAAAACAAAATATATTCAGAAATCCCAAGGGGCAAAGTACAAAGACTAACAACAGTTTAAACATTCTCAGGGCACAATTCCTCTTTATATATGAAATTTCAATTTAACACTAAAATTTTTAAAAATTAAAATGAAAACAAAGTTTAATAAGCTGGACTAATGAATAACAAAATTCCAAATTCCTGGTTTTAATGTAAAATATTTTATTCTTCTCGTAACAGTATTTTAAAGATTTACTTATTTTTGAGAAAGAATGTGTGAGAGAGCTTGCACACACGAGTGGGGGGAAGAGCAGAGGAAGAGAAATCCCCAAGCACACTCCCCACTTAAGTGGGGAGCCCAATGTGGGGCTCTCTTGATCTCACAACCCTGAGATCATGACCCGAGCAGAAACCAAGAGGGAGACACTTTAACTGACTGAGCCACCCAGGCACCCCTTAACAGTATTTTAAAAATAGAATAGTCAAGGGGCGCCTGAATGGCTCAGTCCGTTAAGCATCTGCCTTTGGCTCAGGTCATGATCTGGGTATCCTGGGATCGAGTCCCACATTGGGCTCCCTGCTCAGCGGGGAGTCTGCCTCTCCCTCTGCCTCTGCTGCTCCCCCTGCTTGTGCTCTGTCAAATAAATAATAATTAAAAAAAAAAATAGAATAGTCGCAGGGCGCCTGGGGGGCTCAGTTGGCTGGGCGACTGCCTTCGGCTCAGGTCATGATCCTGGAGTCCCTGGATCGAGTCCCTCCCTGCTCAGCAGGGAGTCTGCTTCTCCCTCTGACCCTCCCCCCTCTCATGTACTCTCTCATTCTCGCTCTCTCAAATAAATAAATAAATCTTTAAAAAAAAATAGAACAGTCAAAAGCACAGGCTCTGGATCACACTGTATAGAATCAAAATCTCAATCCTGCTACTTAATAGTTGTATGACTTTAAGCAAATCACTTTGCTGCTGTGCCTTCTTTTTCATGTATGAGAATAATATTATACACACTTTGTAGGGTTATGAGAAATAAGTAATACAAGTAAAGTGCCTGACACAAAGTATACACTCAAATACTGGCGATTATTGTTGTTATCTGATCTTGTCTAAGAAGCCAATGGTCAACCCTACCAGTAACTAAACATGTAATACTAAGAGCTTGCTTTGGCAGCATATATATTAAAGTAATACTGAGAGTATGTGTTATCCTTCTCATTCTGATAATAAAGGTAAGTTTGTTTGTTTTTAATTCAATCACCTAAGATTATTTTCCAATTGTTGGGGGGAGCTGGTCAGTCACCTCACAATGTCATGTTAGACCTAAAGGTCACAAGAGAAACACCTAAATACACCTAAATACATCGCAAGTCATACATGGAGAAAAAAGCAGTGAGGATTCAACTTTGTGACAAAACAGTAAGAATTTCCAAGGGCAAAGTACAGAACACTAAAAAGCATAAACGCCCAGAGCTCACCCTCACCCAGTGAAGAAACACGAAATTTTTATCCTTCATATAAACTCATTTATTTTAATAAAGTACTTATTATGAAAATGATAAAGACTTCATTAAATTCAAAGCACCAATTCATCATTACAACCTGAAAATTTCAACAAGGGCAATGAATTAACTGAGATGAGTACGGTTTGGAGTTTTTTGTTTTAAGTAAGATCTACGTCCAACCTGGGGCTTGAATTCACAACCCCAAGATCAAGTCCCATGCTCCACTGACTGAGCCAGGTAGGTGTCCCTCTTTTTTTTTTTTCTGAGATGGGTATGCTTTTAAAATATCCTGATTTACATTTAGTTTTGTGGCAAAATAGGACACAGACTTCTCTCTTCCTGTCTGCTAAAGCTGAGCAAAGGTACTACAATTTTTCAGCCTCCCAGCTTCTGAAATCTTGGATTTTTTGTTTTTATTTATTTATTTAAAAGAAAGCTCTACACCCAATAGTTATTTATTTATTTATTTATTTAAAATAAGCTCTACACCCGATGTGGGGCTTATATTCACAACCCCAAGATCAAGGTCACATGCTCTACCAACTGAGCCAGCTGGGCACCCCTCTTGGGATTATTTTTTACTTTTTACCTCCTCATATCCCATGCCTACAAGTACTGTATGTTGTTTATCACTCTACTACTACCCTATCAGGCTATCTTTACCTTGTTCACCTTCACCCTGGTCGTGCGACAGTATCTGAATTGCTGTCTGCTTCCAACCTCTTCCCTCTTTCCCATTATCCTGCATACCACACTAAGATGATGCTCACTTCTGTATTAACATTACTCTAGCTGGGCTATGAAAGAGGAAGTCTAAGTTCTCCCCTTAACTGTTGGCACTGGACACTTAAAACTCTAAAATTCCAGCGCCTGGGCGGCTCAGTCAGTTAAGTGGCTGCCTTCAGCTCAGGTCATGATCCTAGGTCCTGGAATGGAACCCCGAATCGGGCTCCCTGATCAGTGGGGAGTCTGCTTCTCCCTCTCCCTCTGCCACGCCCCTGCTTGTGCTCACTATCAAATAAATAAATAAAATCTTTAAAAAAACTCTTAAAATTCCAATTTCCTTAACTAGATAATGGGACCACACCTACCCCACAGGTTTGAGAATTAAAGTATTTGAAAATACTTCATAATCTGCAAAGCTCTACAAAGTATCTGCAAAAAATTGTACCTATATTCTACATTATTCCAAGATAAGAGCCTTTTAGGGGTGCCTGGGTGGCTCAGTCAATTAAGCATCTGACTCTTAATCTCAGCCCAGGTCTCGATCTCACAGTCACGAGTTCAAGCCCCACACTGGGCTCCACGCTAGGCATGAAGCCTACTTTAAAAAAAAAAAAAGGTAAGATAAGAACCTTTAAAATATTCATTTAGACAGTGATCAACAGTTCTTAAATGTCTTCATTTTTCAACTTAAATGATGTCTATTATGAATCAGACACATGACAAGATATGTGTCATATCTTGGGGACACGTAAGTGATTGATACAGGTAAAGTCCTTGCTCTCGGAAGCCTAAAATCACTCTTTAAGGTAGACTAAGTCAGTTTTATTCCTAGAAATTATAAAGTACAAACTCAGAGCTTACAGACTTAGATGTGATTTTCCTAAAGCCATACAGTGGCAAAAATGAGACTACAAGACATGTTTTCTGATTCTTCAAGCAGTGCCCTTTCCACTACATCTTAGTTTCTGAAGAAATATGATGATAAATGATGGTATCTGTGAAACATTGTAAGATTCCTCAGAACATGATAATGGGCCCACAGTTCTACTGATATTTGAAAGAACAAAGAATAAAAATCAGACATTTCTTACCTCATGACCTTTACCTTTGAATTTTGCCTTATCAAACACATGCCTTAATGCTGGAAGCCCTCTCTCTGAAATTAATCTGTGAGGAGAAATATGTTTCAAAGCCAAAGCAAAACCATAAGAAGAAAAAATATTATCTGCTGAACTGGGAAAAAAAAAAAGTGCGCCTGGCTGGCTCAGTCAGTTGAGCATCCAACTCTTGATTTCAGGTCAGGCCATGATTTCAGGGTCGTGAGATCAAGTCCCACAGTGGGCTCCATGCTCAGTGGGGAGTCTGCTTGAGATTCTCTCTCCCTCTCCCTCTGCCCTCCCCACTCTCTCAAATAAATAAATAAATAAATATTAAAAAAAAAAAAAGACAAATAACTGATCTCCAAATCACCCCAAGTAAAAGTTTTTTAATATAAGTTTTTTAATATTTTTTAATAAAAAATAACATTAAAAGAAAGGGGGAACAAATGTTTAAGGAAATAGTAAATGTACCTCTGAGCATCCAGCTTGGGTATATTCCGTTTAACTGTTCTCTTTGGAGGTACAGGAACAGGTGCTCCTCTCCCTGACTCTGGTGAAATATACCAAGATTTAATATTACTTAAATAATTTAAGCCTCATCTATAAAATGTATCACTTCTATGCTAATAGATGGATAACTGAACACAGGCACTTTTTTGGAATTCTACACAGACCTTCATCAGGTTCAGCTCCTTCACCATCTTCCCTCTGTGGAGAGGCTGGAGGTGGAAAAGGAGGAAAAGTTTCATCTTCTACATGCTCATAATCTGGTAGGTCAATCAAGCCATTCTCCTGTGGCTCCAGCATCTTTTCCTCTACAGAAAAATAAATAAATAAATAAACCTGTTTATTCATCCAAGTAGTCTCCTTATTACACCGTTAAGTTCCACCTGCAGCAAAATGCACGTGTTTCAGTCGGTTAAACCGTATTTCAAACTCACATCATGAAAAGAAGTAGAGAGTAGTTATGGGAAAAAACCAGGTTAGAAATCAGAAGTGAGTTCTAACATAGACCCTACCACCCAATAACTGCATGATTTTCAGCAAATCATTTTATCTCAACTGCTGAGTCTCCCCTCAGAGGGTTTCCAACTATGGTCCAAATGGGTGTGAAATAGGCAGGGTTCAGGTACCTCACCCCCACTATAACCAGAGTAGCTTTTAAAAAATCTGTTTACATATTCCTCTTCTAGTTAAGGTTTCCTTTCACAGAAGCGAAATAATCCTCAGGTTGATAACCTGAAAGGATGCTTTTCAGTACCATCGAACTTGACCTCTTAACAACAGCTAACACTTTTGATCAGTTTCTTTTTCTGGAAAAGCATTTTTGTTCGCTTCTGAATCACAGTACTTACTTGGTTTTCCTCCCTTTCTGGACACTCCTCCTGGATCTTCTGTGCAGATTCATCTTCCTCTAATCTGGTAAGTATTCAAGACTCCATCCTAGGCCCTCTTCACTTCTTTATGCACATGATTTTAATAATCATTTATAGATGAATATCTAATTTTTTATCTCTACCCAGAGATACCATCAAATCTAAGCTCCAGATCCCTACTTCTCATTTTACAGCTCTTCAATTTCTCAGAGGCAACCATAACTTCTCATGTACAAAACCAAACTTCTAAATTTTCCCAATTCAGTGGGTGACATCTATCCAGCCATGCAAGTAAGAAACCTGTAAGTCATTCTTGATACTTCCTTCCCCCATCCTACATATCCCGTCCATTTTACTTCTTAAACATCAGTTAAGTCTTTCATTCCTCCCTATCTCCACAACCACTTCCTAACATTTCTTCCTTTGGTTACTCCATTACTCATAACCACTTTTGCCTTTTTCAAACCATTCTCCATATTACAGCTAGACTGAAGGTCTGGAAATACAAAGCCAATCACATTACCACTTAGCTTAAATATTTCAATGGCTTCCTACTGCTCTTGGGCTAATGATAAAACTCCAAGGCTCTGCCTGGTTTGGCACCTTCCTACTTCCTCAGTCTCACTTCAAACAACTCTTCATGATCTTTTCTTTCAGTTTCTTGAAAGAGCCATATCCCTTGGGCCATGAGTCCTTTGCTAATAAGGCTGTTTCCTATCTTGAAGGCTCTTCCCGGACTCCTTATCCCTTTCAGATCTCAACTCTCACCTCCTCAGATAAGTCTACCCCAATTTCCCTGAATTAAATCCTCCTATAATAAGCATTCAAAGTGTCAAGTACCAATTTCAAAGCATTTACCCAGTTTCAATATCATATTCCATTTCTGTGATTATCTAATGTTTGTCTTCCATACTAGACTGCAGCTCTAAAAAAGGCAAAGACCAGGTGAGTCTCTTTGTGCTCCACCACTGTATCCCCAAAGCTGGTATACAGCAGATGCTCCATAAATACTTGCTGAATGACGGAATAAAGATTCCAAAGCTTCCTTCAAACTGTAATACTACTAGAGCTAAATGATCCCTAAAGGCTCTCCGATTCTAAATTTCCATGACCACAGATACATAACAACGTTATCAACTCCTGATGATGACCCACCTTATCTTCAAGTAAGGTTCAATAACCACAGATTTTCAAAATTGGAAAGGCAGTTAGAAGTCATATAATCTAAACTAGCTTCCTATCTACAATAAGGATATTCAAGTTAAGTTTAATTCTAGTCAAGTTTCATTGGGAAGAAATGGAGTTCACACTTTTGAGAACAGGGAGCTGTGAATCTGATGGCAGGGCACAAACTATATTCAGTGTAGCAAGATGCAATGTAAGGAACTGGCCAAGCGTGGGGTGGGGTCTGTCAGTAAACTGGCTGTGAATAAGGTAGCTCTCTTATCTTTCACTTCTTGCCGGTGGTTGCACACTGCTTTTAGACATCAGTGAAATTCTCTTAGCTTCCCCGCCCCCGCCCCCAGTCCTCAAACTCTCACAGGAGTGAAGGTAAGAAAGAAATTTAACATCCAAACTCCAATGCGTTCCCAGACCCTTAGGGGTCCAATGTCCAACTTCATCCAAATTAACAAAACAGTAGCCCGGGTCGAAAGGGAAGTCCCACCAGACTGACTCCATGTCCTCCTTTGCTAGCCACCCTAAAACCACTCTCCCGCCCCATCCCCCCCTCCACCCTTCCCATCCCCGCACCCCCCCAGTCTCCCTTCAACTTCATTCATCCATTCATCCCACATTCACAAGACGCTTTCTATGCTTAGAAGCCCCCGGACAGAAAATAGCCGGCGACGTAAAGGTGGACTGCTGCCCGTTCGCTCCCGCTAAAAGGCTGAGTTTGGCGAGAGGGGGACCCGAAAGAAAAACGACAGGTAAAAGTGCCCGCCCTCTTCCCCACAGGTCGCGGCCTCTCCAGTCCCGCTCTGCCCAGGTCCAACCTCCACACTCCCTCCCCGCGACTCCCCAGCACCCTGCTCCTCCGTCCCCCTCGCTCGACCGCCGCTTCCCGCAGGCCCTCCACTCGCCCGCGTACCCACTCCTCACCTCGGGCGCACCGCGGCCGCCACAGCGCCGGGGTAAGCGCGGCTACCAAACAGCGTTGATCGCGAGACTCGGAAGATCCCTCCGCGAGAAGAGGCCTCTGCGTTTGGCGCCAAATCTGCGCAGGGCTTGGGTGGAGTCCGCGGGACCCGCCTCCCCACAGGTGCCGCCCACCCGCGTCCGTCCCCGCCTTTCCGGGGTCCCGCTGCCTCCGCCCTCCCGAATTCCTTAGAGGAGGTGAAAGTTATTCGCTTAAAGCTCGTATTTGTTTCGCTCTAGGCACTTTAGACTTTGGGGGAACGTCTGTTTTCTAGAAAACTGGCTTGTGGATGGAGCAGAAAGAATAGAGGCGAAAGAATTTGATAAGAAACTACCGATTCTTCAGAGTTAATAACAATTCCTTGAACATTGAGTTTTACTGTTTATTGAATAACGAGCTGAGCAAAGAGGTGGTAAAGCGTTAGTGTTAGGAGTGTAGACACAAAAATGTAAAAAATATGTTACCTGTAATTTTTTTTTTAAGTGAGTTAAGGGGAGCCTGACTGGCTCAGTCCATAGAGCATGCGACTCTTGATCTCATGGTAGTAAGTTCAAGCCCCACTTGGTAGAGTTTATGTAACTAATGGGATGGGAACTGGGCATATGGGATGAGGTAGGTTGGGGACTTAATTCTGTACCTTTTTTTTAAAGTAAGCTTTACCCCAAAGTGGGGTCTGAACTCATGACCATGACCCTGAAATCAAGAGTCACTCGCTCTACCAAGGGAGCTAGCCAGTCCCCCCTATACCTTTTTTGAACATATATTATTCAAAAAACAAAAAAAGTTATCTGTAGCAAATACAGCATCAAGATTTGACAAACCACGAAGATGAGTAGTGTTGTAACATTCTCTCTACTTTTCTATAGCTTGAAGTATTTTATTAAAATTATAAAAGAGGGTCACCTGGGTGACTCAGTTGGTTAAGCATCTGCCTTCGGCTCAGGTCATGATCCCAGGGTCCTGGGATCGAGTCCGAGTCTGGCTCCCCGCTCAGCGGCAAGTCTGCTTCTCCCTCTGCCTGCTACTCTCCCCGCTTGAGCTCTCTCTATCTCTCTGACAAAATTTTTTTAAAAATAAATAAATAATAAAATTATAAAAGAATAAATCAAATGTGTAAGAAGAATAAGATAAAATAAATTGCAAGCTATATTATCTAAAGTTATGTATGCAAATATGTACATGTACCACATTTTCTTTAATTTTATGATTTTATTTCCATACATTTATTTATGTAAAAATATGTATAAAACGCATTTATTTATATCTATACATGCAAGATAATATATGTTAATATTAAGCAATTAAGAAAATGACCACTGGGGTGCCTGGCTGGCTCAGTGGGTAGAGCATGCAACTCTTGATCTCTGGGGTTATAAGTTTGAGCCCCATGTTGGGAGTAGAGATTACTTAAAAATAAAATCTTTTTAAAAAGAAAGAAAATTAACATTAATTTGAAGAGGAACTGTGTCAACTTCAAAAGTCTGAATAACTGAGGCAAGAGGCATTCTTCCAATTATCCAGATTACAGTCTATATTCCACACAAATAAAGTAAATGTAAAAGCACTTCAAAAAATTGAAAAGTTATACGTGTCCCCTCACCCACTCCCACACACAAAAGCCCAGAGCAGAAGCTCTGAGGATTTGAACCTCAGTTCCATCATTTACTACTTAGTGAGCTTGGACTGTGCTTCTGTTTTCTCAGTATTAATAACAGAACCTACTGAATAGGGTTATGAGGAGGATGAAATTATAGTACTTAATGTCACCTGTTATTATCCATATAATCTTTAGAATGTTTGACCCTTTGAGAAAATGTGAAGACTTTGGTAAGTTATTTGTGGGCCCATGTGAATATAACTACCACTGACATATTATTGTCAAGATTAATTGTCTTTTTTGTTCATATGTGAGGAATACTAGAAATAGATTTTCCATAGCAATTTCACCAAAGATCTAAAGATAGCTTTCCCACAGACCATGTCATTAGCACACTTTTAAAATAGCTTAATTGTTTTTTGTTTGTTTGTTTCAAAGATTTTATTTTAATCTCTACATCCAACCTGGAGCTCGAACTCACAACCCTGAGATCAAGAGTCGCATGCTGTACTGACTGGGCCAGGCAGACACCCAAAGAGTTTAATGTTTTTAAAAATGAATCGTATTAAAGAAAAAAAACAGACTATTAAAGAGCAAAGACTGAGTATGGAGTGTAAAAGTTTTTCTGGCAAGCAGAGTACCCACCTAGTCCAGAGATGAGGTTTGAAAAAAAAGGAATGGAGTACATCTTTTACAACCAAAAGACCAT